TTCCATCTTTCCCAGCATTATAGACTTCTCCAGAGAGCTAGGTCTTCCATAATGTGTCTGAAGTAGGATAATTTGAGCCTGGTCATTTGTGCCTCGAGCGAGAACTCTGGGTTGATCTGTTTAATGATCCATTTGTTTGTTTTCTTGGCTGTCCACAGTATTCTCAGGAGTCTCCTCCAGCACCAGAGTTCAAAAACGCCAATATTCTTCCTACCTTGCTTCTTCAAAGTCCAACATATGTCATAGAGATTGTAATTTTGTAGGTGGACTCACTTACAATGGCTATGAGTGCACCGTTGGAAGAGCTTGGATTCCAATTGCTGTATGAATGCTGGTCTTGGAGAAGACTTGTGGTTATGCTTAAAGCACAGGTTCCACCCCCAACTTCTCCCAATATCCCTGCAAAACTCCTTTCAATTGATAGTACATAAAATTGAACTGGATGGATGGATTGACAGAGAAAGAAACTAATCCTGAGAAGATAATTGATGGACAAATTTTAATTTTTCTATTTAAATCAGGGGTGAGGGAGACTTTGCTTTTCCTTTCTCATTGATCTAGTTATAAATAACCTTTACCGAGATAATGGGCACCTTTCAACAGAGGAGTTCTACTCCACTGTTTCTCTGGAATCTTTTCTAGTATATTTGGATCCAGATGTGCAGAAAATTTTGTAACAATGTTTGACCCAGTCTGTCTTGACAGCCCCAAGATAAATGGTCCAGCTTTATTTTCTATTTCTGCTTCACCCTGCCAAGAAGACAGACGGTTTGAAACTTGGATTGTTCAGGTGAAAGAAGATACCAAGAATGACAAACAAACCTAATTTAGTTCTTAGGGGCTTGATTTACCTGAAGTTTGCCCTTCTGAACCAACGTTCTCTTCTCTGCTTATTTGGTATTGCAGCTCTCCCAGCCCCTCCTTAGTTATCAGACCATTGGATTTAGAATTGTGGTATTTGAAAATGTCAAGAAGAACCAATAGGAATATTTCAGGGGTGGGGGGAACAATCTTGGTCAACTCAGCACCTTTTGAAGCAGATTTAAAACATCTGATAAGCTGCTTTGGGGCATCAGTATGTGACTTCTGACCTGGAGTGATTCTACTTAGATCTTAAAAACCGTATGTCTGTAAATATTTTTTCACTCTTGTGGGTTAAAAAAAAAACTTCTTTCTAACAATGCAGTCCTAAAGTCTCAACTCTGAAGGAAGTCTTATTGATTTCAGGGGGGAGTTGATCCCTTTTAAGTATAGGCTTATGACCTTCCTCTCTCATCTGTTTAACTGCTTTATAATGTTTACCTCTGATCATCAGGAACAAAGATGTTTTCCAAAGTGAGATTTATGGTAGTGGTTAAAGTGTGGGATTAGGAGCAGGGAGATCCACTGTCAAGTGCAACGTCAACTATGGAAGGTCATTGCACGACTTTGGGTTGATCACTCTCTTTCCACCCACTTTACCTCATGGGGTTATTGTTGGGATAAAATGCTTCTTTTGACCCCTTGGAGAAAAGATGGATGTTGTAGGAAAAATGCCATATTCACCATCATACATGTCCTTAAACCTCCACAGTGGGATATAAAACTAAAACAAACAGACATGACTGTTGATCAAGGAAGAGTTAGCACTCCAGTGCCCACAACTTTGGTGATCATCCATCCACTCATAACATTTCTACCCTATGCTTCAGCCAAAAACGTGCTCCCAAAGCAGTTTAGGTACGATCAATGGGAAAAAAGCAGGCTTAGAGACCATGGTTTATTCCATTCAGAATACAAAGGTAGAACCTCCCACAATTATATTCTACTAATTCTTACTTAGTTTGATGATGGAATCTCTTTCCAAGGAGGAAAGAACATTGGTAAATCCTTATGGGTGAAATAGGATGGTGTCTTTAGTCATGAGGTGGCCAAGAGGTCTTTCTTTGTATCTCTTCTCTCTTCACCTGCGGCTCCCTTCCAGCTTCCAACTCTGCTCCAAAATAACCCCCCCCCCCAAAAAAAAGAATTGGGGAAG